AACACCCGGTATAGGTATATTTTGATAAATTTTAAAATGTTACTTGGAATGTCACATTGACATGCAGCAAATTATACTTAATCTATAGCGAGATTAGTAATAATTATTAAATATCATTGCAATTTTTCTACTTTTCTACTCAGTCAGATCAATTTTTCCTAATAACGAATGAGATTGAAGGTGCAGTAAATCTTTAGTTCATCTATAACGAGACCCTGCCATTTTTTTTGTCAAGATTGTTTGTATACACCTTGTATATTGAATTTGAACATAAACTCTTACAAATAATATTGCTTGGGTAACAACTAATGATGAATCATAAACCAGTCAAGAGAAAACTTATTTTCTGCGAGACTGCTAAAATTTATTTGGTAGATAAATAATATTTTTTCTACGATCGCTATCCAAAGTAGGCTTCTGCGCTTCGAAATACAACCGCAAAGTTGACGTTTTCCTCGAACTGACATTGACAACTTTGTCACTCGCCGAGCGGAAAACTTGACAGCTTTGTTGCTCGCCTAATTTAAATTAGATATAATATAATAATATTTATTTTTAATAAATAATTTTGAAGTTATTTGTACCTAGTTTGATGTTTTTTGTTTTATTATCCAAGTTATCATTGAATAGCAACTTCTTCTTTCATGAATAACATAGATATAGGCAACACTACTTACGTCAAATTTTGAGTTTTTATACCTATTTCTTAAAATAATGTGATCGTAGAAAAAACTTGTGCGCGCCTCTTTTTCAAAAGTTGTCAAGAAAATAATGCTTTAACCGGTGCTGCTTGTGGTGAGTTTTCCAAACAATAGACGTTAATATTTCTAGTTGATATATCTGGTAAAGTATTTTTTATGTCAGATATGATATTATTCTTTTTATTTTGTCGTTCTAATAATTCTACTTTTTCTTGCAAAATTGAGTTTTATTTTTCTACTGTTTTAATTAATCTGTAAATTTCGATTCAATTTACATCAAAATTCTTACTTCGCTTGCTTCAACAAAATTTGTCAGCTTATTAATCTCCTCTAATAGTAGAGAATTTGTTATTTTTGACATTTTACGTGTATGGTCACCTTTAAATGTTATGTTTAAGAATATTGTTAGTTTATTTGTTGAAGCGCCCAGACTAAATTTTTCATTTATCTTTAAGGAAAGTTTTTGTGTGTTACTGTTTTTTTGTACAATTACTTTTACATCGTTTCAATCTGTATTATGAAGTGTATATCTATTTTTTTATGTACTTACTGGATATTCATATTTTTAGCTCTATACCAATTTTCAGAATCTCCGTGCTGTATTTAGCGCTATTTTTGCAAAAACTTTGAGGAACCACTTTACACACACATTCACTATTATAGTCAGGGGAAACAATATTATAGGTACATATAAAAGTTTATGGTCTCAGATGTATGGGGTTATTATAAAGTAAACTTATTATAACTTTTTAACAAATTAAGTTAATAACAAAAACTAAACGATATATAATTGTTTAAATAATAGGATTTTGTATGCCCAAACCCAGTTACCATAAATGTTCAATATGACCTCCATTTTGATCTTGTAAATTCGCAACCGTTCCTCTAAATGGGTTGCTACATTTAAAAATATCTCCTTATGAAGAAAGTTTAGATTAAATTACTGAAGGCTTTCTGACTTTTTTGAAACTCTTTATGACCCTGGTATTAACTGACTCATTTATTCTGGATACCCTTCAAATTTAAACGAAATCCAAAAAGTGGTTAAGATTTTATTACAAAAGAAAACCGTTCTCGAAGACGTCCCTTAGAGAGCGAATATTCCAAAAGGAGATGTCATGAAAGAAGAATATATATTTACAATATTTCACTATTCCTGAAATACCTATACCTACTATGTCCAACTTAAAGATATGTATTTTGGTCAGATATAATTTTTCCTTTCTTTTTTCAATTTCGTCACTATAAAGAATCCAGCCGCATGGCACCCAATGAAATTGAATAATATGGAGATTATAAATGACACCACTTCTCCCCATCCTTAGAAGCCATGTTATAGATGTAAAAACTTTTGTAAAATTTGAATATTTTGGCGTTGTGTTCAAATTTATTATTGTTTTACTGAAAAGGCATGACTAAATGTGCTACAAATTACAAAACAGGAATAAATCGTACTGGATTAATTTCAACTTTGTCACGAAATAGCTCTTATCAAAATGGGGCGTATCAAAAGAGCGCCTGAACAAAAAATCGCATATCAATAGAACGCATGAACAAAATAACGCAAATCAAAAGAGTGCATGAACGAAATAGCACGTATCAAAAGAACGCCAGACAGAACATTGCTCGAACGAAATAGCGCTTTTAAAAATAGGGACAAAAAATGCCGTAAAAAACTAATTTACCTAACCTGTGCGACCTTGATTCATCGCCGGTTGATTCGCAAAAAAAATATACAAAAAATATTTACTAAACCTGTGCGTGTGCAATGGTTTAGTTCTAAATAGCCACAAATCGCACAGATTATTTTGACGCTCTTTAGATACGCGCTATTTTAAGTAGTTAAGTTTTGATCGGGCATTATTTCGATCAGCACTATTTTGACCAGGCGCTACAACAATAGCGTTACTTTGAAAGCCCTATTTCGTGACAGGGTCTCGTATTTCTGTCTTTAAAAACGTTTTTTGTGGATCACTACTTTTCTATTATTTTATTATTATGTAATGACACTTACACGTATAAATGTCAAAATTTCCTACCAATACGGCAAAAGTGCTGTTACTTATATCTGTAAAGACTAGAGAGAAAGAGGCGAATCGACAATGGACGAATTTCAAATTTCCGTCCTTCTTTTTATAAAGTTTGCCAAATTGACTGTAGTTAGCAGGTCGACGTTAGTGACGTTAATTTTCTATGTAAGGTGAAATAAAGTGTGTTTTTACTTCGATCTAGGTCATAAAACAAAATATAAATCAAATGTAAAGCTGGAGAAAACACAAGGAGAAATCAATCAAAGTCTTTTTAAAGCTCATAGTGTAAGCAAAATAATTTAGTTATTTCTAAATAAACTAGTCAAAACCCGTATTTTACAGAGTGTAGTTTATTTTATTACAATTTTCTGTAACAAAATTTAACAGTCATAAATCTTCACTTACAAATAACAATAATTACACATTATATTTAACTTACTAGAAAATATATATTTTTTTTTTTGATAGCTTCAATGTTAGAGTTACAGGAGTTACTTACTACTATTTTTTTCTTTACTAGCCACACTTTTTAGAATATATATTCAAATATTATTTTTACTGATGGTTGTTAGCAAAATAAAAAGTGGAATGCCAAAATTAAAGGCAATACCGTGTATATTCCCGAATTTCCCTTTATACTTGTATTATAACAATAAAAAATCTTCTAACTGTGTTTTATTTGGCTATTACAACCATATTGTTGTGTGAGCCATTTCATTATTCAGTCATGCTCTAACCCTCCAAGTCCCTCTCTGTCTTATTTGGCCTTTGAGGCTCAACTTGTCCGATTATTATACATAATTAAACCCCTTAAGACCAAACCTATGGGACGACTATGGCGGAGGTGCTTTCGATGACTATTCGAGAAAGGACGGGATAATGACTCTAGTCTATTGGTGAGAATATGTGAACTTTCTAGAACATTCGCCAATTTTTTAAATTTGTATATAAATATTGGTGGAGGACCCAGCAGAGTTAGTTATTATATGGACAGTGAAGATAAATAGTAATCAGTGATATATAGACAGCTGACAATAAAGTATTGGACTGTGAATATAAATAGTGAACGATTCAAAGACATTCGAAATATATATAAATTAGAAATAGTAGTGTCATAAAATAAATAAGTGTTTAAATAAATTATTAATTAATAAACTGTTGTTTTAAAATAAATAAACATCACAATATTTAGGTATAATTAAAAAAAATTGCCACAAAAAATTGTACTTACCAAATTTCACAATTTAAAAACTATTTAACAAACCATTTCGAATTTGGTCAGACCTAATTTGCATTTTTTATAGATAAAATTAAATAATGTATCACTTAAAACATGCAAGACTTATTTGGAAATAAATAGAACAATTATTTTCTATGCTTTATTTTGAAATAAATAAGTTTATTTCTATTATTTTTACAAAATTATGTCAAATTCCCATAAGAAGCCTTGTGTTTTTAACATACATAGCAACACCAGCGCCCCTGCGGTAAACTGTAAAAGTTTAATTGGCGTTTGTTTTTTTGGGACCGTATTTCGAGTATGCCGATTCGCCTCCTTCTCTCTAGTCTTCATACTTATATCATATGTGATGTCATCTCCATCTATTCTTACCTCCCACTCCCAGGCCGAAATATTCAACGCTTCCAAAAGAAATGTGCTTTTTGAAACTAATTTTGAAAAATTAGTTATAAAGTTATATAATACAACAATTAGTAAATAAATAATCTGCTGCGCATTACGTATTTAATATTCTTTTATTTGCTTTTTTGTTAAACTTTTACATTGTGAAACAATAAACTTTAAATAACTCGTGTTTTTTATTATTAATAAGTTGCCTTTTCTGTTTTTACTTTTACTGTACACTATTTAATGCAGCGTATTATTGTGGTAGTCCGATCCTGTACTTGTCTGGTTTTTTTACTTGTCTTGCATTTCCCTTCGCTTTGGACAATAATTATTCAAAGGGAAAATATTCTGGATTAAAAAAAAACGACCCTTTTTACGTTTTGGGTATGCCCATTTCCCAATGAAACACTATATAAATGTTATGAGAAATGATGATACTAATACCACCCTAACTAAGAGGGTGATGCTTCCAGTTTGCGCTTATTGGCAAGTACGGCCCTGGTCTTTTTTAGTTTCCCAGAATGTATGCAACACATTATACATTTACAATGTAAATTATTGACCAGATAGTTTAAAGAACGAGGCCCAATTATCTGTTAGAAATAGAAAGAAGACGACAACCATGCATTTTGATTTTTAAAACATAACCTTATTTTTCCAAAAGTTATTTATTTTGATTGTGAATCTGTACCGCTATTATATACCTATTACAAGTTAAAAATAACATTTTTAGTGCAGTTTCCTAATTGTTTTAAAATACGAACCAATAAATCAATGTTAATTATTATTTATTAGTAAACTATTATCAAAATGAGGCCTAAAAGGGGAAGAAACTCTGGAAATCGGTGGAAATCCCATAATAATCAACGTACTCCTCAAAACAGGGGGCCACGTGAATATAGACACTCAGACCAATTAACCGAAAAAGATGTTGGGATAACAGAATATTTAAGCCCTCTAGATGGATTTTCAGGAATAATAAAGGCTAGGTATTCAGATTTTCAACTCAATGAAATCGATTTAGAGGGAAATATTGCAAAATTGACCAACATGGATATTCCTAAAGATTTTTCCTTAAAAATGGTTAAATATAATTATAATGATATAATCGAAAGCCCTAATGAAAATATACCCCAAGAAATGTGGGAATCTATCAAAAAACTTGTTGATGACAGTGATGCTGAGCCAATCATTTTAAATGCTGAAAACATTGATAAAGGGGCCAGATCACAAATTCACGGATGTATAAAAAGTCATTTTGGAAGGAAGATAATATTATCTACAGTGGATTTGGATGGCAAAAAAGTTATGAAATTCGAGAAATTCACAAAAGGTTAATGCTTTTCTTTCAGTTTTATAAACTATTACTTTAAGTAGTAATAGTCTAAGAAATAATAATAATTTATTCACAAAAAATACAATAATAATTACAAAGTATTATATCAATTTAAAACAGTATCTGTGAATAAAATATACTGGATAAGCCTATAAACACTTGTTTCGAGAAAAACAAAAGAAATACATTTAAAAACTAAAATAATATTTAAAAGTAACATAAACTACTAAAATCGATTTAAACATAAATAAATTAAAAATATAACCTAATGTAGGTACTATAAATTAGATTATCATTTTTTAATTTTATATTCATGATATACTAGACCCTGGAGTTTACGAATATATTTGTTGCTACAGCAAAAAATATACAATTGTCTTGGATCCAGTATTTTTGTTTCAGTATATAAGGTTTCTGTAGGATATCTAGATTTTTTAAATAAATTAACTTTAGAAATCACCTTTGTGTGACTTCTAAAGAGTGAAGGTACGTTTTCAAAGCTGCAGCCCACAGAGTAATTGCATACTGAAAAGGACTTTCAACTAGAGCACAGAGGGTTTTAAGATGTTGTAATGGTAAAATATCTTTTAAAAATTTGAATTTGTACAAAATACTGTGTAGTTTATTTACCATGTAGGATATGTGTAGGTTCCATTTTAAATAAGGGTCTATTATTACTCCAAGGTATTTAATTTTATTTTTATTTGAAATGAAAAGAGAGTCTCCACAATCAGTAATTTTTAAGCGATCAAACGGTGGTGCACCATATGAATTGCAGCTAAATGGTAAATAATGTGTTTTCTCTATATTTACAGTCAATAATTTTTTAATGATTAGAAAGTCTTGTTCCTCTTTTGTTTTTAAGTTAATCCAGCTATCATCAGAATAGAAAATAGTTGTGTCATCTGCGAACCCAGTTATGTTTTCTATACTTCCCTGTGAAAACAAATCATTTGTATATGCATTAAAAAGAATAGGATCTCTGTGGTACCCCATGTTCAATAGCTTGCAATCTACTGCAAATAAATGGTAAAATTATAAAATGAGTTACAACTTACATTGCTTAACCTTTATCTCATTTGATTTTGGATCTTTTAAATTGGGAGTTTTTCTGGATTTTATGAAAATAAAGGCTTACCAAGTGATATGAACAATTATTGTTTTTTCTGTATTCGTATTCCAAACCAAATTACAAACATTTTTCAATCAGCATCATAATGCTATGAGAAATCACGTCGTGTTTTCTGACCATTTTTCTTAAAAATTCAGGATTAGTACACTCATGTATAACATTTGTGCCCAGTGAAATTACAAGTCAATTAATCGTAAGGGCTGAATGGGATTTTGTCTCAAATTTTACTACAGAATCCAATAAATTTGAAATTTAATATATTTAGGCAACTTTTCTCTACAAATCAGTATTCATAAATATCCCGACAATAAGACACTAAAACTGAATTAATAGATTACATTTGATTTTTAGATATAGTAGTTGATACTCGTTCACAATGGCCAGCTGATAAAGGTGAATATGTATACTTTATAGTCTATAAAGAAAAAATGGACACCCTTGAGGCAGTGTTCAAAATAAGTTCAGCTATAGGAATAGGTTCATCACAATTTCACCATGCTGGAAATAAAGATAGAAGGTCCATAACATCACAGTGGTTTTCTGTCAAAAAGTTAGATCCATGGAAGCTTATTGTCAAAACCAATAAGTTACCAAACATAAGAATTGGAAATATAACATTCAAAGATGTTCCACTTAGGTTGGGACAATTAAAAGGTAACAAATTCAGAATTGCCTTAAGAAATGTTACCGCAACAGATGAAATTATAAATGAAGGACTGAATTACTTAAAGGAGAATCATTTTATCAATTACTATGGTTTGCAGAGATTCGGAAATGACAAAGAAGTTCCTACATATCAAGTAGGATTAAGTTTGTTGCAAGGCAAATGGAAAGAGGTATAATTATATTTACACAAAAAAATATTTAAAATACATATAAATACAGATATATGTTATCTATGTAAATCAAATAATTCAAGAGTCTATTAATTATAATATTTAAGTGATTTAATAGGTGCATGGTTTGGTTGGTAAAATAATCAAAATAAATCATAAACAGCATACATAAATATAATACCTAAAAATAGTTGAGTTAGAATTCAGAAATGTTACAAAACAAGGCAAATGTGTCAAATATTTTTATGAAGTAATTCTGCAAAATATTTTTTACATACTTGAATTCTTGAATAACATTTAAAATTAGTAATTTGTTTGCATTCATTTACATTACCAGCATTCTCTCCATCCACATTATAAACAAATAAAATTACATTTTCTTCAAAGAATCAGGGTATTGTTTTTTTAAGTAAAGTCTATTTTGGAGTAAAAAATAAACTAGTAAGAATTAAAAAAAAATGAATAAACATAGAAATCTCTATTTTTCTATCTCTTCCATCATCTGAAGATATTCCTGGGGGGTCAGTTGTTTAGATACTAATAAAAAAAGATTTTTTAATTTAGATGTTTAAACTGACAAGAAAGGAAATTACTAACATATTTCAAATCAATTCTTTTTTTAACCTCAGATATGTAAAGACATCTAATAAGTTTCTTTTGTCCTAAAAGAACCTCTTCAGCATGAGTAGAACTGCCCAGGCTTTTAGTTAGTCAAGTAGAATAGATAAGTATGGTGCAACTTTAAAGTTTTATTTAAACATTTATAATTCAACCATTTACACATTGAAACACTGAAAACGCTGTAGGAATAAAAACTCTAGAAGAATCATCAAAATGCCTTGCAATTTTCCTTTATCTCACTGAAGATTTAAATTGTCCTTCTGCTATTTCATTTTTGAATATTACACCCATTATTTGCCTTAACCTTTTTCAAAAGAAATATTTTCCTAAAAAGGATATGTAGTCAAATAATGAAATATTGGGTTGGAAATATGATTTGTCACAGATTGATGCTCTATTTTCTCAAATTACTACATTCGATGTGTTAGGTTTTCTCATAAATAAATAAATAAATAAATAAATAACAAACAGTTGATTGGTGAAAATGTTTTACATAATAAACTGAACACAAAACATGTCAGATTTAAAAAAATCTTATGGATGTAACATTTGTTTTAATTTTAAATTTGCTACTGTTTCGCTTACAGGATGAAATTGTTCTCCACAAAAATATGTCCTTGTATGTCGAGTCTTAAAAGCTTGTTCTTTATATTAAATCCGCTTGTGAAATTAGACGGCCTTCTATGTTACAAATTAATGAGCGAGCTTGCATTTAATTAACAGAATTATTTTAAACATGCAGGTGTGAGTGAGAAGCATCTGTAAGTGGTAGTGACTGTAGCGAGTCGGAGCTATATTACTGAAGTGTTGCTAGGTAGATAACTGTTGGCTCTAAGTTTATTATTTATGTAAATGAAACTTTTTTTATATGTTTTACGTAAGATTATTGATTAGGTAATGCTAAAACTTAAGATTGAATAATGGAATATCTTGTTGTTTTTAAGTTAAGAATACAGGAATATTTTACATTACTGGTATGGGGATGGATCAAAAAGAGAGTAGTAACTAAAACATCTGTTTAAAAATACTTATTATCATTTTTCAGGCCATAGATCTAATTCTCAAACCTAAACTGTCTGATGATCCTTATTCTAATCAGTCTGATATCGTTAAAGCCAAAAAAATCTATTCTGAAACAGGTATTGCTAAAGACGCATATGAAGCTCTTAATAGAAATAGAGGTAAATCTGTGGAAGGTAAACTTTTGGAAGGTTTGAAAAAGAACAATCAAAACGATTATGTAACTGCCTTAGAGAGGGTAAGTAAAAAACGATTTATCAAACGATTTAAAAGTATAATTTTGGTATATTGATTAAAACAGAGGATTTGTATGTTGTAGAAGATCACATTATTATTATTTTATTTATATTTTAAAGTCCATTTTAACTATTTAACTTCTAACATCTATTTTATAATCCTATTAACATTTCAATTTCTTTTTACCAAAAATTATTTTTTAAAACCCTTAGACAATCTAACAATTTCCCAAAAACAAATTTTTTATCTGGTCACCATTGATGTCAAATTCCCTAAAGCCATTCCAAATAACTAACTGACGTAATACAGAATTAGAGGGAAGGAGGCGAATCGGCAATGGTTAAATTTCCGTCCTTCTTTTGATAAAGTTCGCGAAATTGACTGTAGTTGGTATGTCTAATGACAGCGCAGTCAATTTTCTATGTAAGTCAATGTAAAATAAAGTAATTTTTTAAAAAATTGACGAAAAGAATCAAAATAATGTGAAAAAAAGTACCTGAGTACAAGTAACATGAGTGACAAAAAATATTAAAGCAAGATATACGTCGTTTCAGATTGTAAAACAGGATAAAAATAAAATGTAAAACTAAAGAAAACACAAGAAGAAATCAATTCAATGTCTTTTTAAAGCTTTTAATGTAAGTAAAATAATATATTTATGTCTAAATATAATATTTATTGTAAACTAGTCACAATATGTATCTTACGAAGTGTAGTTTATTTTATTATAAGTGACTTACAAACAACAATAATTATGCATTAAATTTAACTTACTAGAAAAGAAAATTTATTTTTTATAGAGTTTTAATGTTAGATAAGGAGTTGCTACTGTTATTATTTTTTTTGACCCCAATTGTGTCATTATAAATGTTTTTATAGGATACTAAACATTTAGAACAGTAGCAGCATATATATCGTTCCTAGTGGGGATAAAGCACTTTCTAGAGATGATGCTGTTCTATACTCTTTAGAAGATATTATCAAATATTCTGAGACTATTTTTACTGATGGTACTGTTAGCAAAATAAAAAGGGAAAAGCTGAAATTAAAGGATGAGGTAATACCATGTACATTCCCTTTATACTTGTATTTCAACAATAAAAAATCTGTTAACTGTGTTTTATTTTACTCTTAAAACTATATATTGGTCCAATTAAAAAAAAATTGCCACAAAATTGTACTGATCAAATTTCAGCAATTAAGAAACCTTTTCGAATTTGGTCATACATACCTAATTTGTATTTTATATAGATAAAATTAAATAACATCAATTAGAATATGCAAGACTTATTTAGAAATAAATACAACAGTGTGTTCTGTGCTTTATTTAGCTGTAAACAAGTTTATTTTTATTATTTTGACAAAATTATGTATAATTCCCATAAGAAGCAGTGCATTTTGAACAACGTATGCAGTACCAGCGCCCATGCGGTTAATTATAGAAGCTCAATTAGCATGCGTTTTTTGGGACCGTATTTTGAGAATGCCGATTCGTCTCCTTATCTCTAGTCTTCACATACAGAATGAAAACACGGCTCGAATAGTCCAATGACAATATTAAGATGTTTATAGCTCTTTAAAAAGCAGAAATGAATTAATCTTAAGAAACTAATAATCAACATGTTTTTCTAAGGTTCCTAGATCAATGAGATTACTTTACTTGCACGCTTTTCAAAGTTTAATTTGGAACAGAATGGTATCAAAAAGATTACAACTGTTTGGTAGAAAACCTGTTGTTGGTGATTTGGTGTTGATCAATGATATTGAAGGAATTCCCGAACAGGAAGATGTAGAAACAAACGAATCAGAAGAAGCTAACTCAAGTAAAAAAGATGATACTGAAAGTGAGTGAAATATACAGGTTGTTTAGAGTGTTTAAATCACATTAATATAGAATACGGTATTAAGGGCCTTAGACGGTTCATTAAAATGCACAGCAATCTTTTTGGGTCTATCCAAGGCATTTCAAACATTAGAAGTTAATAAATAAGTCAAATAGGGATCAGAGGTATAGGGAATTGCTGTTTCATTTAGGTCAAGTCTTAAGTATGGATCTGTTGTGTGGTGTCCTTTTTATGTTAAAAAGGGTGCAAAAGAAATTTCGTAGACTTGATGCTTTTAGGCTGGGTTTTCAATTGGTTAGTACTATTTGTAAATTAGTATGAAGAAATGTAGACTTGATGCAGATTTTGCAATTTGTGTATAAATTGATTAATGGTTATATCAACTGTCTTGATTTTTTGTCACAATTTTGTTTTTATGTTGGGTAAAAAACGACCAGAAATATACTTATATTTTATATAAATTCACACTCAGCCAATTAGTATGTTGTCTCGTTCGCCTCGTGATATATAATAATAATAACGGGTCTTTATTTGCACAAAATAGTAGCATTTTTGTACAATTAGCATTGTCGAGGTTTAGCCTGTGGCTATTCTTACACCTAACCCTAACAAAATTTGTACAGTTAAATAACTATACAATTAAGTTTATCTATACAATTTGACATTAGTAGCTCATTATATCTAACAGTTTACATTTGGCTAATAAGGAGTTGCCTTTTTAAAGCGTTTTTAAAAACAGATAGAGAAGTGCTTTTTTAATATCGGTGTGTAAAGTGTTGTACAGAACAACTGTGTTATACGAAAAACTACGATTATAAATAGCACTAAAGTGACGAGGCATTGATAAATTAAAATTGTTTCTTATGTTTACATTGTGCGTAGACGATCTAAAAGTTAATTTGCTTTTAAGATATAATGATGACGAAGTAGAAAGTATTTTAAAAAGAAAAGAAAGGAACATAAATTTATATAAATTATTAACAGTTAGCCAGTCAGTTTGGGAGAAGGCATGGGAAATATGATCAAATTTTCTAAGTTCATTTGCGAATCTGCAGCATGTATTCTGCATAATTTGCAAACGGTTATGATCAACAGCTGTTAAATAAGGATAATACACAACAATTCCATATAATATTTTTGAAATTACAAGGCTTTGGCAAAGTAAGATCTTGATTAATCTTATCAACTGCAGTAATGACTTCATTCGGCGAGAAGTCGAGGAACAGCAAAAAATTTGACTGCACAATTATTTACGTGTTTGTAGAAATCCGAGGTATAGAGTAAGAAAAGCAGGGGCCCTAGGACTTAACCTTGTGGTACGCCAGATTTGATTTGAATGGATGTTGATTTCTGACCGTTTACTGTAACTGACTGTGATTGTTTACTTAAGTATGTTTTTATGAAACCTAATGAAATTCTATCAAATACATAATATTGACACTTGGATATAAGAAGACTATGATTAATGGTGTCAAACGCTTTGCTTTTTTCTTATCAATACTGTTGAAAATATTGTCACTTAAATGTGCCAAAACTGTTGAGGTACTGAAACCCTTTTGAAAACCCGACTGATGCAGAGGGACTATATTCGTAAATTTGGAAATATGCTGCACATTCAAGAATTTTTTAAATTAGAGGCAGTAAGACTTATTGGACGCAGTTTATTGTATGAACTAGGATTGTGCTTTTTAGGTAAAGGTATTATCAAAGCTTGTCTCCAACATTCTGGAAAATATCCTTGTACTAAACATAAGTTTATAATATGTAGCAGATAAACATCAATAATATTAAGACACAATTTTATGACACAACTTTATGTAATGATTGTCCATTAGGTTCTACATATCTCTAAGTTCTTTTAAAAAGGCCTTAAAATCGCTGTAAAAAACATTGAACAAGCTCTATATATAGCTATTTTTTATTTTTGAATATTTCATATTTATTTTATTTTTATGTATTTTTATAGCTTTATATATTCCATGTTTATCTTTATGTTTAAATAATTTTTTTGTATTTTTAAACTTGCATATAAATAGTTTATCTGTCTGTAGTTCTCAATTTTAACCATAAATATACCTGTTAAAATAGCAATATATAAATATGTATGTAAATTTTGTTTAATTTAATTAATTTTCTATTTTTTATAATAAATAAGTAAAATAAAAAAAGCTAACTTCCCTTTTCACCCCTTCCTCTTTAATTGTATTTTTGTAATTACAAATTTTCAATTCTTTGTCATTTTTGACTTTTTACTAATTCCTAAAATTTTCAGTTAAACCTAAGATGCAAGTTAAATGTTTATGTGAAGAGGATTTGGATAAATATTCTATATTTGATATCGTTTTACCTCTTCCTGGATACGATGTGATCTATCCAGAACATATGAAAACATATTACAAGGAAAGCGTTGAAGAACATGGATTAAATTTGGAAATGACTAAACAACGAGTGAAGTAAGTATAAGTGAATTGAATTATATTACTTTTATTAGTATATATTTATATTTATTATTTATCTCAAAACACCCTTCAAATAAATCAATTAAAAATATATACAGGGTGTCCCGAAATTAGATGATCATATTTTAACAGCGTAATCTATATTCTAAAATAGAAGTAAAATTTCATATAAACATAGGTCCGAAAACGTTTCGTTTTCGAGATACAGCCCAAGTAGCATTATAGTGACAGAAACTTATATCGCCACTTCGATTAAGTTACTATTGCGTTATAATCACTAAATGTACCCCTATATAGTGAGAATAACTTCATTTTATATTTTCTCAGTTGTGTGTATTTCACCACTGCGGATCAATTCAAAGTTTTATATTATTTAGTTGCCTTTGAAGGTGTTTGAAACGTTATAGCCACTAAGCGGGACCACTTTAAAGTTACACAAACTTGAATGTGGAAAATAGTAGTTACGGCCACCAAATTATATCACTTAAATACCACCTAGAAGTGGCAGTAATCTTAAAGCCGGTTTGATAGTTTTAGTAACGTTTCGGGAACCACAAATATATCTTTAAAGTGGCGGCACTTGATTGTATGACTGCAGTAGTTCTTGCCACGTATTTGCCACGCTCTTAAGTGATTTTCACATATTGCGTGGAACAAAAGCCACTTCAAAGTTACTATTACCTTCAAAATTCACAATGAAGTAACCGTTGCCTATTAGTGGCCTGCTTTCTACATTGTCCACCTTTACAATAAAGAAAAATGCATTCCATCTGCGACCAACTCACCTCACCTTATTGAATTTCGCCTCAACGTTTCTCGTTGTGAAAAATTTAAATGGCCTGGCCAAAACAAGGTTCCTTCGTTTTCCCACATGTCGGTAACAACGCAGAAACAAACACCCCTCTTTTCTTGAGTCGATACAATTTTAAAACTCATATCTAAATCTAAGATGTGCACACAAACACAATATAAAACATTAAATACATAAATTTAAGTGATCTGTGACAAACAAATTTAACCGGCGAAATCTACTGTAAATTTTAAGGTTATATGGAATAATACAACTAATACAGTGTTGCGATATCATCAGAGCGCAATTTCCCAGAGAAGATATAGTATACAAATTTTTCTCATAATCTTCTTGAATGTACACTATATTTGTACAGAGTGTTCAGTTATTTTTAGAACGGCACTTAAAACGTTTATTAAAAGATAAAATAAATTGTTAAATACATAATTTATAAGACTTTACTAGAAATTATTATTAAGATAAACAAACTATAACCAGAAAGATAACTAACAAGTATCAACTGTGTGAATGAAAATGGGAACCCTATATATTTTTTACTATGGCGATTTCAAATTTACTGTGCCTTAATATTTGATTAAGCCGTTTTACGCTATTCAAGAATAAAATTGCTTTAAATTTACATTACCTTGATCTAGGTTGATGGATGACATATTTGTAATTTAAGGTAAATTTGATTTCCCCCCCTGACATTGCCCTTACTGAACAACTGAAAAACTCTGAAGTAAGTGGAGAAATGGCTGATCTGGCAACAATGTAAATAATTAACTTTATGGTGGCAAACACTAGGTGGCTGCCACGTAACCGCCACTTTGAAGTGATAACACCTTATTAGTATTATTATTATTCAGTATGTACCTACTTATTAGTTTACTAGTTGTCAAGTTAGAGAATATGCAAGGAGAATGGGCTAAATAATTTGCAGGACGGAGACCGAGCTACAAATATCAATCAAAAGACATGGGCAGTAAGCAAAGTTCAGCGTTTAGTTTCGGTCACCGTGCCGCCACGTTATCGCCTCGTTTTCACCATGTTTTCGCCACGTGGCGTAAACGTGATTATATAAGTTCCGGAAACGTGGCTGGAACGTGGTTGCCACCAAGAAAGTGTTCCCCATTTTGGTTACCGCCACATTGTAGAATCGTGTCTATTACGTGGCAGAAACTTTGGCAACACACTTTAAAGTTTCTAAAGTCGTGGTAGCTACTCACGAAAAATGCTACTTGGGAGGGCGTTACAAGTAGAGTCCTGATGGCACATTTTTGTAAATATTTTCTAAAATTTCTTTTGTTACCGGTTTTCCAAAGTTAAAAAAAATAAAATTTCTGATTCCACGGGCCTACTAATTATTGTTTACACTTTCGAATAAGATAACGTCAACTTATCATGAAATGTTCAAATACTTTTCTCTTGAAAATGGTGCGTCCTAGCAAGATACAACAAAAGACGCTTTAGTATAAAGAAAATATTGTAGTCAAAAATGTTGAAAATAGTCAACAAAAAAACTTAGGACAATTTAACCCTAAGCCTCTTTCCTAATTTACTCACCTATGAAGATAATCAAAAATAGATGTTTAGTCCATTAAATAGAGCGCAATAAGTTTGGCATTTGTACCAAATTTCACTTAGTTATCTTTAAAAGTTTAGAAAATATTTACAAAAATGTGTCATCAGGACTTCACTTTAAACACCCTGTGGGGTCTATTATGTAGCAATTCCTTTATATTTAACGGCCTTTAAAAATATTTTCTCCTTTACTTCTGTCATTATTTAAACGGATCTTTAAAATACATAAGAGGACTATCTTAAAGAAATCTGTTTAAATAATGGTAGAAGTAAATTAACGAATAAGAAACTATTTTTAAAGGCCGTTAAATATAGAGGAATTGTTACAGAATAGACCCCTATATCTCGGAAACAAAACGTTTTCGGACCTATGTTTATATAAACTTTTACTCCTATTTTAGGATGTAGATTACGCTGTTAAAACATGACCGTCTAATTTCGATATACCCTGTAATTTGTAAATAAATTGTTTTAACTCCCAGGTTCGCAGATTCTTTTGATAATTATTTACATGAATATCAATCATTTAGAAGAAAATAAAGAAACTTACATTACCAAATCTTATATATTCTTTTACTGTCAACTTATTGTTAATGTTTATTGGTTACAAGTTTCAATTTCTATAGTACAAAAAAATCTGATGTGTCCAACACACGACTTTCCTATCTAGTTATTATAGGCTTTTTCCGGTTATTTTGTACAACCTATTGCAGCACCTCTATAAATGTTTAGAGGATAAACGTCCACACACATCTACCTCGAAACATTTTTCTATAGATATTCATTGAAAACGAAAATACTGAAAAATTTAAATTTCCTACAATTTTTTCATTACGGTCCATTTTAGAAAAATCATTTATAAACAAAAATAATAGAGATCGATATCGCAAACAACTTTTAGTTCAACAATTTTCATAAAAATCAGAATTTTACACATTTTGTCAAATTTCTCGAATACGGACCATTTTAGGAAAATTTTGTATAGAACAAAAATTATAGATAATATTAGAAGTAACTTTTATTTAAAGAATTTTCTTCCCCAAACGTAAATAACAGATATATTTCATAAAATATAAAAATGACCACCAATAAAGTACCCCCCAGATGTTCCGACTCTGCTAAAAATCTAATCAGTTCATTGGACGCTGGAACAAAGCTTAAGTTTAAAATTTGGTGTTTTTCTGTGTATCGGTTCATGAGTTATGCGACACACAGACACACACACAGACATCATCGCGAAAATAGTCCAAACAGATTCAGGGGACCTCAAAACGTAAAAATCCGTCGAAAACTCGAGGTCGAAAAAAATCATGATTCCTATACTTTCCTTATATCTGTATACAGATAGGAAAGTAAAAAGAATGATAAAATTTCTATATTATCTGCTCCTATGTACTTTTTTTTCTACCATCATTGTACTATCCAATTCTTGTTCTTCTGCCTCTTTTACGTATCTTTTATGTCCCCTTGTTCTATTTCTTCCACTTCTATATCTAAAAAAAAAGCAACAAATATACTATTTTCTTTTTATTAATTGCCTTCTTGATAAGATGTGGTCTTGTACACCTCTACCTTTATGGAAAGCACTTTGTAATTTTTCTAATTGATGTTCTATTTAATCTGTTTTTCATTAAAATCCATTACATTCTGTTATTTATGAATTTTATTAATGGAGATATTTTATTTCATTCATTGCAGAACATACACACTTTCAGGCAGCTATAGGAAAATATTCGGAAAAGTTGAAGATTTGACATGGAAAATAGTGAATTACAATGATCCTACAGACAATTTAATATTATCAGATTTGCAACAGTTGAAAGGAGAAACCAAATTACAAATTGATGAAAGTAAGAAAAATTTTTGTAAAAATGTTTTATTGTTAATAATTAATGAAATTATTTTCAGATGGACAGTATAAAGCTCTAATTATGGAATTTTCTTTATCATCTTGTAGTTATGCAACGATGGTATTAAGAGAAATTATGAAAATTGATACTTCATCTAATTTACACTCAAAATTAAATAATTATCAAAAAGTGAATAAAGAAGAAGAGGAAGAAAGCATTTCTACAACAAGCAGTCTTTTAATGGATCCAGCCAAGTTTGAATCATTCAAAAATACTATTTTTAATGTTGGTGGAGAAAAGAGGCCAGCTTGTGAGAGTGAGGAACCTTCTAAAAAGCAAAAATTGGACGATACAACTGAAGATAAGACAGACGAAACGATAATGTGAACGTTAAAAATTTAAGATAAGTTGAATAAATGTTTCTTTTTAATAATTACACGTTTTTGGTCTTTCTCCCCTTTTGCTCTTTCATTTGTCGGATTTGGGCACGGAACATGGCTGTTATAGGTGTTTCAACCTCAAACAAACCCCATTTAAAAACAAAAGAAAATTATGTTTTTAACATGAGCATTGTTTTAAATAATCCGCCAGAGGTCAATTAGTTAATAATGAATCCGTTTGACCATTAAATTGATAGACAGAACTGTAATGAAATCATTTGACATATTGGTATGAGATACCACATATGGGTGCTGGTCCAATAAGAGTTTTTTCCGCTCCCTTCATTGCTAGGAGATCTGCTTTCTCGTTTCCAAACACTCCCTCATGTCCTGGCATCCATTCAAGGGTAACCTTGTTATGTTCTGCCAGGGCCTGGAGGGACTGTTGGCAATCAAGTATTGATTTAGATTGTACTTCTACCCTTTTCAGTGCTTTAATGACTGCCATGATAAAGACCCTCTTATCTCTAAAAGAGTCATTTAGCATGACTTTGGCGAGGGCATTTATTGCTGTTACTTCAGCCTGGAAGACTGTTGTCAGTGACCCCAGGTTCATACTACTTGTCCTCCCTGAGTTCACATGGTAGATCTCAGGTCCTGTGCTGTTTTTCATTTTCGAACCGTCTGTATACCAGATTGATTCGTTTTGTTTTTCCCTATTTTTCCGGCTTTTGGCCCTATCTGGTATTTGAATATCGAAATGTTTCCTGAAGTCGTGAATAATGGGCGTTCTATCCGATGGCATTCTTAGTACCGGATTTTGTTTTAATTTCTCTAATATAGTGTGGTGTTCCCATCCAAATCTATTAGTAAACAGCCTGTAGGCCGCCGCCATAGCCTTCTTCTCCACCACAAGGTATAGTGGAGGAAGACCTAGCAGTAGCTCCATTGCTGCTGTGGGCGTAGTTCTAAATGCCCCTGTTATTATTAGACAGGCTAGCCTTTGAACCTTGTTTAATTTTCTGTTAGCTGTTAGGCTTTTAGTCTTGTGCCACCATATGACTGATGAGTAAGTTATAACAGATACTACAACCCCAGTATAATTATTACTTATACTGGGCTACAACCATAGTGTAAAGCCAGTGCATCATACTTGGTTTAAGCCCCCATATGTTCTCTACCATCCGTCTACAGGCCCATAGTATTCTTACAGCTTTTTCTGTTTGTTTTTTCTATATGGCTGCAGAAGCTAAGCTTGTTATCAAGAGTGATTCCAAGATATTTAAACTCTTTTGCCATTTTTAGATGTTGTCCCCACATATAAAGCTCCTTCATTCCTTGAAGGTTCCTGTTTCTTGTGAATGCAACAACAGAGGTTTTTGTCGGGTTTGTGGACAATCCCTCTTTTAGGCACCATCTTTCGACGATATTTAGTGCCCGCTGCATCCTTTTGGATACAACAGAGCCAAATTTACCGTTTACTACGTTGCTTATGTCCAGGGCCGCCGAGAGCCAGGTCGGACCCCGCGACAATTTTATAAAAAAATGAAGCTCTTTCAATATCACATATGCTTGCGTGTATAAGTTTTCTCTCTCTAACTCCCATAAATTAAAGGTCATCAACCACTAAGAGGGGATAACACTCCTCCTTGTGGGCATCCCTTGTTAACTGAGATCTCTCTTGTTTAGCCTATTGAGCTAGTCTATGTATGGCTGCATCGCAAGACTTTCCGGATTGGTAGGCAAACTTGTATTGATGTATTGGTTTATCCCGTAGAACATCGTCTCGTATATATCTGTCGATTAATTTCTCCAATGTTTTTAGGAGAAATGATGTTAGGCTGATTGGTCTGAAAGATATGGTCTCCTCGTAAGACGCTTTTCCGGGTTTGGGAATAAAGACAACTCTTGCACACCTTCAGCTTTGTGGAACATATCCGAGGGCTATGCTAGCTCGGAATAGTTTACACAGTGGTCCCTCCAGTACTTCCTGGCCCTTTTGTAGAAGTACCGGGATTATGCCATCAGGTCCAGCTGTTTTATATGGTTGAAAGGAATTTATCGTCCACACAAGTTTTGTTCTGTTTACTATTGAGTTTGCAAGAGACCAGTTTGTTTTTGAGGCCCTTGAAGCAATAATCGATATCAAGAGAAATTTGATCGGTATCGTTCTTCTCTACTGGTAGACGTGACAGCCAGTCAGCCTTAGTATTCACAGAATTTACATATTCAAAAGTATAATTATTATCCGGACAAAATTACTGCCGAACGTCTTAGTCGATTGGCAGAAAATTGAGGTATCGATTTACTAGGACTGAATATAGATACAAGTTATAAAAGTAATTTTAAAAAACCGACTTCAAAATCGTGCAGATGCCCTTAAATATTGAGATTTTTATTTTTTTCATATCATCAGATCTTGACCAAATTTTATGGGACCACCCCTGAGGTACCCCCTTTCTAACAAAACAAGAATCATAGAATTTGGACAACGTAGTAAAGAATTATCGCTGAACATACATAAAAAAAAATATCCGGACGAATTGAGAACCTCCTCCTTTTTTTGAAGTCGGTTACAAAGAGCAGGCTTGTGATCGGTTACCAGAACAAAATGTTTAGCATACAAGTATTGATTAAACTGAGTTACCCCATATATGATTGGCAAAGCCACCATTTCTATTTGAGAATAGTTAGTTTCTGCCTTAGACAGTGTTCTTAATGCAAACACAATCGGCCTTTCTACCCCAGACTCAAATCTCCTATCCCTATGGAACTTGCGTATACTGTTAATTTCAACTCGAACTCGGGATTAAAATGAACGCTAAAATATCTTTAACCTTTTTAAATGCAACTTTACAGTCTTCGGTCCAGTCCCAAGTAATGTTTGATTGTAATCAGTGTTGCCAGAATGTATTTTTGTTATGTACCAGATTTGTCTAAAAAATGTATCAGATTCCATAAAAATATACCAGATTCTATACATTGTACCAGATTTTTCGAATTGTGATGGTTTCGTTCATTGAAGAGCAAAACAAAAGCGGAGATCTAAACGTGTATTTGCTAAACCTAAAACATACGCTGAAAACGAAAACGTACTAGATTTTGCTTTGAGTGTACTAAAGTATCAGATTCTTAGATACAATTGTACTAGACTCTATGCCGTTCCGCTCTATCTTTAGCCGTTCTAGTTCAAAAACTTCCAATGCGAATATCTCGGAAACGGTAAGAGATAGAGTAAAATGACCAGCTGGGTTTAGGACACACCCTTAAATGAAGTGCGTAGGGAGCTCTATCGACTCAAGCAGAAAAACGAATTTTTTTAATTAAATGTCAACATTTTTTTAAAAGTCCAGTTTTCGTCGATTTCAAATTTCATGTTTTAATGTTTTTTTTTCGCGTTTCTAGATAACTAATGATCAAATTACTTTGTAAATTCACAAAAATGTAAAGCAGGACAGATGTATTAGAGGGCTCTATGCCGTTCGTCTCTATCTTCAGCCGTTTTAGTTCAAAACCTTCAAACGCGAATATCTCGGAGACGGTAAGAGAGAGCAAAATGACCAGTAGATTTTGGGACAGACCCTTAAATGAAGTGCGTAGGGAGCTTTATCGACTCGATTTTTTTGTGAAATTACATTTTTTTCAAAAATCCACATAAAACACAGCACAACGCACAACACACACAAAACAACGCACGTACCAGATTTTTCGAATTGTGGTTTGTTTCAATAAGGATCAAAACAAAAGGGCAGATCTAACGTACATTCGCTAAAACTCTCTAATATATTTTACACGTCAAATGGAACCATACGCTGAAAAACGAAAACGTACTAGATTTTGCTTTGAGTGTACTAGAGTATAAGATTCTTAGATAATGTACTAGATCTAGTACAATTGTACTACACTGGCATCACTGATTGTAATAGGTAAGTCAGAGATTACTCTGAGGTAAGTGATATAAAGGACTTAAGATTGTTCACATATTTTTTATAAATCGACCGTAATATTTATAGTACCTAGAAAAGATTTAAGCTCAGTGACATCTTTAGGTTCGAGGTAGAATTTTCGAGTCTCGCATGAAAATTGTCGCATACCAAATTCGCATGGTTGTTAAAAATCGTATTCTCGAAAAAGAGTTAATCTTAAATCACAAGCGAGAAATAATGCGAAGGATTTTATGTGGCAACGTAGGAAATTATGTCAACTGTTAACATTAGTGGGTGTTTTGTGTTCTGTTTATTTATTAGAACCCCTCTATGCTAAGCACATACTTTGATTACTATACGGTGCAAGAGAGAGGTCCGACACGCCCAACATAGGGCGCGGCCATTTTGATGACTTTACCACAGTTTATAGCTAAAGAATCAGTTTGCTCACTCTGTGTCGGCACTTTTGATCTCAATGTTCCAGTTTATACACTGCGCAACTCGGATAATACAATATATGACAACCGCCTATAATAAAACAGTAGTCTTCTGCATATCCTGAATTTGTATCCCTGGAGTGGATGTTATTTTGGAACTTTCAACTGGTCCGAGTGAGCTAACTGATTCTTTAGCAATAAACTGTGACTCCAAAAATAATATTCACTGACACGTAAAAGGCACTCAGAAAGCTGCGCAGTGCGACCATTCTCCGTATAGTAAGAGAAAATCAAAATATGTGATGTTAAGAAATTTAGACAATTTTGAAGCAAATAGCAGAATTTCTTTAAGATGCGATTTTTTTCTATTAACATAGAAGAGCACCAATATTGCAATGCAAATCAGAAAACGAAATATTAAAATATGTCACGAAAACATCCTGCTGATACTCTATATACTTGGAGGCGTTATAACATGCTAGTTACAATATCTATCAAGAGTCGCGTAGATTCCTTAGAAAGTCGAAAATGCTTGATAAATAACACTATAACACATAGTTAATTCCAAATAGATTTTTATGAATAAACTTTTTCCTTCTAAGTTGTCACTCTTTAATAATGTTTTGATTTTCAACAGCCACCAAATGTTAATTTCATAAAAATCTGCCTCATCAATGTTTACGGTCCACA